AAATTTTCTCATCTTTGTAGGAAATTTGCCATTTACATACAAAAGAATGTGCACTGTATTGATAGGGTTAAAGCTTCCATTGGTGTTCATCCTTTTCTTCGCCTGTCAGAAAAAAGAACCAGAGATTTGTTGTACCGCTTTTTAGTTTTGATTGTTTATTTTTGCTGATTGATTTTTCTTGTTGGTTTTAAAGCGATAACTTCACTTTTTTCTTTTTTTTTTTTTCAAATCCATACTGCGATTCTCTGTTCAGTTAACATAAGTTTTCCACAGTGAATAATGGTTAAAAATACTGTAGACATGTCATTGTATATCTTATAACTAATATTTATAATTCAGAAAACAAATCCCTTTCATATCTTCCTCCATTTTTTGTATTTTATTTTTTCTTTCTTGCAGCAGCATATGTGGTAAGAGAAATTAACGGACAAACTTTTCTGCTGATCATAACTAACTGGTGGTTCACTTCTGAGGTTCTATGGCTGATACAGTTCTCTCAGTCAGTTTTAATCAGGTAGATGTTATAGTACTTGTTTATACTAATTTTCAGTGTAAAAAGTTTGACAACCGGAGGTAAGGTGCTCGTTTATCTAACTGATTTGATTTGGGTTTTTCACGCGTAATACATCGCGCATTTCGGCCAATAAGTTTTTTACTCAAACTCTAATGGGAACAGAATGCGTGAAATTATTATCTTACTGGCGGTTTGATTGACCACTCATCATCTATGTAGCAGTCATCTTTACTTTGAACGGGTCTTTGAAGTGAGCTAGTTTTGTGGTGTATGAACGTAAATGGAGTGAGCTTTAGCTTTCAAATTGTCGGTTAGCTCAGAGAACAGGAAGAAAAGAACTGTTACTGTTAGGGTGACAGTTCCACCAGAATTTTTGATTAATGGGGAAGCAAGGCGCTTTGGTTTCCTCTATAGAAAACTTAACTCATTTAGGACTTTGCGTGCTTCGCTTGTGGTACTCAAGATGGCTTTTTTGTGTATAATACGGATCCGCTTAAAAGATGCTATTTTGAAAAGCTGCCGGGTGGAATCTCGGCTGTTGAAATGCTTTTTCGATGCAACTATGTAGCTGTTATAGCTGGTGGTCAAAATCCAGCTTTTCCGTCTAATGTTGGTATGCATTATAAAGTAATTTCTTCACTGGATTTGGTGGTAAATTCCTAGTACTTTTCTTTTGTAGTTGTTGTTTGGGATGTTGTTAACCATAAGGAGGTGATGAGACTTGAAATGAAGGAAGATGTAAAAGCTGCCCGACTACGTAGAGATTTTATTGTCGCTGTGCTTCATAATTCAGTAGAAGTTTACAGGTAATTTTTTGTGATATGTAGCCGCAACTTTTTGTAACTGATTTTACTTACTCCATACTCATTTTATTGTTTTCTGTTGGTGTGAGTTTCTCTACCTTTGACGCTTCGGCTGGTTTTGCTGAATAAATTTTTTTTCTGCGAAGTTACATCTTTTGCTTAAAAATTCATTTATTTTACTAATTTAGTGTTCTGTTCTATTTTTTTTAAAGTGGGCTTTGTATGAGTTCAGCAATAGTGTTTGTTTTTTTTTTTTACTTCTGAGTTCCTTTTTTTATTCTTGAACTATGACTATTTATTAACATATATTGCTTAGATTTTAGGGACTTAAATGTTTCTGGGGTTTTTGGTTGAAGTGAGTTATAGTTTCCTTAAGCTAATACTCTTTCTACAGTTCGCTTGGGGATCGACAAACACATTAACTGTTAATTGTGTGTATTTTTTCATCTTTTCAACCTCTTTTTTAGTTTCACTAGTGCTCCTGAAAAACTCTTTGTCTTTGGAACGTATAAAAATCCTCATGGACTATGCTGCCTATGTCAGTCTTCAGATAATGCTTTGTTAGCGTTCCCAGCTGCTTCGTCTCCGGGTTCAATAGCAATCGTAAATTTGTGTGAGAACGAACGACAGCAACAAATCTTAACTGCTCATCGACGTCCGATTTGTGCTTTAGCACTCAATTCTACTGGTTAGTTTATTGCTTTTATTTTAAGTGATTTTTAGTTTCTAAGGGAAATGATTTGAAAAGCATTTTAACTGCTACGGTTTGAAATTTTTAGAAGAATTCCTGTAATGTTAAGGTTCACAGTTAGCAACAGCGTCTGAAAAGGGTACTATTGTGCGCGTGTTTGACACGAACACATTGATGCTGATTAAAGAACTTCGTCGAGGTGCAAACCCAGCTAATATATATTGGTGAATGAGCTTTTAATATCTGAATTATGAAATGCTTATCTGTAGCTTACAAAACCAAGTTTTACTAGCTTAGCCAAACTCTTAGCATTTTTCATTTTCATAATTTAGTACACTGCATCTCTTTTAACACTGAGGAACAGAAAAATCAGTTTTCTTAGTATTTTTGAAAGCGTGATAAAGGAAAAAACATTTTATTTTGAAGTCTTTCTTAAACGAGACTTCTAATTTTTTTGCGTTAGTCATTAGTCTCACACTACTCGATTAATAGTGAACTAGTGAAGAGGGTTGTAGAAACTTGTTTATGAAAACTAGATATGTAAAAAAAGAGTATTCGTGCGAGTTATAAAACTAGAAGGACATGAGGATTTCCGCTTGTAAATGTTATTTCTTTGGAAGTGATGAAGTAAGTAGGAACTTGTTTTCGTTTAAGATTGGTTGGTCTGAGAATAAGTGATTGATTAGTTTTTATTGGTACTTTTCTTTTTGTTAAGAAGTTTTTATTTAAGAATATTAAGGGAGAAAAGTTTCATGAGTTTTTTTTATAAATGAGCGGCTGGCAGTAGAACTGTGGTAAAGAACGCTGTAACTTTTAATGCTTTTGATCGATGGGGTGTGAGGATAAGTAGTTTAAATATTTTTATTAAACAGAATCAAATTCTGTTTAAGTTCAAGCCTATTTTATTAAAATCGATAGCCATTAACTGAAACCAGTAGTCACCACTTATGTTTAAAAAATTAAGTAGATCAAGGTTTTAAATGAAGTTCTAATTCTTTAACATTTTTACTTACTTCTGTCTAGTTTTTTTTTTCAACTGTTCTTTATTTTAGCTTAAATTTTTCACCAGATTCGTTGTTGTTATGTGTTTCCAGTAACCACTCCACTGTTCATCTTTTTTCACTGAAAGAAAAAAAACAACAGTCGTAAGTGATAAACTGAAAATTTTTAATTGCTCTTAAATTAAATCAAGACTGTAATTTCTGCTTGAACCATATTTTTAATTAATATTTTTTTAGACCTTTGAGAAGGCTGCCATTTTCTGGTGAATCAAGTTTTTCAAAGTTTCACCTCCCATTCTTGGCTAAAAAATCAGATTTGTGCATATGTTCCTTTGGCCCACAACCGGACTCCGTTATTGGTATGATGAGTTGCTTATTTTTCTTTTGTTCTGGTTTTTTTTCAATTACTACAATATTTTCTGTTGAAGATAGGCTCAAAAGGCTTTTGAAAGATTTTTTTTGCAATGGTATATTTTAAAGTTATTGTCAATGGTTATTTTTAGCGATATCTTCGAACGGCAATTACTGTAAATTCAATTACGAGCCTTCGAAAGGAAACTGTGTTCGTCAAACTTGCTCACTTTATCTAGAAGTCAGTAGCTGATAAATTATTTCTTTTTGCTGATTGTGACTCTGTATTATGGAGTTTTGTTTGTGAAGTTTCTTACTCCTTGATTGATGTAATTTTTTTCTAAGTGCTATGATGCCTTACCAGTTCCTTTTTGTTGGGGGGTAAGGGAATGCTACCATTCCAGTCTGCAGATTAAATGTTATTATTTTCTAAGAGGACGACAAAAGAGGAATTGGTCTTTTTTATTTATTGCAAATTTGATTTTGAATACTTTTTATCAGGGGTTTGATTTTGTCTGTTAAATTATAAAATTACGGGTCTGTTACAGAATATTGTCATTTTGATTAAACCGAGACTTTAAGGACTTGCTGGTTATACAATCTTTTTGCCTTCTATTATTTTTTCTGTGTTAAATTCTCAATTTTTGGTCAATTTACAATTTAAAAAGGGATCCTTCTGTTATGATCTTGAAACCGTAGAGCAGCGTCACGTCTGTGAATCGTTTTAAGATGCTATCCAGCTGTCATCTATATTGTTTTTTTAGTCACTTATAAAAATTTATTTTTTATACTTTATAATTTTTTGCTTTAATTATTTTAAATTCTGAGTGCTTTTGTGGCTGTATTTTGTTTTGCTCTTAATTTTCACAAGATTTTTCTTTATTTGGGCTTTCCTGCTTAAGTAAGGTTCTCTTTCCAAACTAATAGTAATTATAATCTCAATTGTCGGTTGTCATGAACGACATTACAATTTTTTTTGGCATTTTTTTCGCTTGCTTTTGTAAAAATCGGGATCAATTTACCTCGTATCAGTAGTTTTGCTCGATTGGCATAATGTAGCACGCTGAAACTGGTAATTTTTGAACATTTTGTGATTGTTGTTCTGTTATTGTTTTGTGTTCGCTGTGATAGTTATTCTTATGCAACAGTAAATTAAACTCAACATTTCTGATTTATTGCGGATCAGTCAAATTTTTTGGTGAGCTCTTCACCATTGAGCAGTTATGCTTAAAGATGATAAGTATTAATTCTTAATTAAAATGAATAAGGAATTGGTGAATTTTCTTCTGACTGACGAATACTGTATGACTATGCCCTAGTTGAAAAAAAAAAAAAAAAAAAAAAAAA